AAGTATGCACCTGGACTGCAATCCACCTATTTTACATTTCCCACCCGAGTTGGGATGACAGGTGTTCAACCACCATACCCAGCTTCTTCCACTGGTATGGACTGTTCTGGCCAGGCAGAGCCTATCAATCTCAGCCTCCCTAGAAGCTAGGGTAATAGACACGAGTCACCGTGCCTGGCTCCAGTCTCCATTTTTGTTCATAACCTGCTAACTTGCTTTGCATTGCGTCAGGGAACCAGAAGCCACCAGAAGAGAAATTCTATGATCTTCCAGCTCAGCGAGTTTCCCTGCACAAGGGCCTCTGCTCTGCCTTTCCTTTCGTGGTGCATACGGGTATGCTCAGAGCCATTGTGTCCTGGGTACTGGGCCTGCTTCCTGCTTGTGGACACAGAACCAGCAGCACTTCCCTCTCTCACATATCGCCAATTGTCTTCCATTCTCCTGAGAGCGTCTGCTCTTCCTTGTCTTTGAGGAACTCATACCCTGGTGTGTACGTGGAGTGCCTCCTAACTGCTGGTTGCTTTACCCTCTATCACTGTCCCTTCTGGTGCCCGGGGCCCAGACCATGATCCTCTGATCTTTCATTCTCACTTTCCTCAGAGACAGCCCCTTCAGAATAGATCTAGAGTCTAAAAACTCACCAGCCTTTTGCACCCATCCTAGCCCAACCACCATCATCTTTCATTGAGTGACTGCCATCGCCTTCTAACTGGTTTCTCAGTTCCCTTCTGTGCCCTTCCAGACTGTCTTAAGCCAGAGGGATCCTTCTAGAGTACAGGTCTGATCAATGGATTTACATTTCAATGGCATACCAGGCCCCTCACACTCTGATCCCACCCATCTGTTCTCTTCCTCGCTCATTTCACACTCCAGACTCACCTGGCATCCTCTGACTCCCTACCCCAGAGCCTTTGCACTGACTCTTCCCTCTGTCGGGAATGGTCCAATCTCTGGCTTTTAGTCTCACCTCTTTTAAGACTTCAGTTAGGAGAGTGGGGAGGGGAGAGGGAACATAGGAGAAAAAATAAGGGAAGGGGTAACTAGTTTGACAAGAAATATACTTATTACCTAAGTAAGGTAATGTAACTGTAACCCCTCTGTACATCACCTTGACAGTAAAAAAAAAAAAAAATTTCAGCTAATTTTTTTTTTTTGGTCGGTCGTGGGCCTTGAACTCTGGGCCTGGGCACTGTCCCTCAGCTCTTCAGCTCAAGGCAAGCGCTCTACCACTTGAGCTACAGCGCCACTTCCGGTTTTCTGGTGGTTTATTGGAGATAGGAGTCTCACGGTCTCTCCTGCCCAGGCTGGCTTTGAACCGCGATCCTCAGATCTCAGCCTCCTGAGTAGCTAGGATTACAGGCGTGAGCCACCAGCGCCCGGCTTCAGTTAATTTTTGTAGTGACTACCCTTACTCTCTTAACCTCCTCACCTTGCTTTCTTCTCTTCACAGTACCCATCAGGAAACTAACATTCTATTAGGTTGAACCCTATTATTTTGCTTATATTTGGCTACATTTGATCTTAAGAAGAATAGTTTCATATGGTTCAAATGAATGCATATTTTACTTGTTAACAGATGTTCTCTGCCTCTTCCCATTGGGGTGTCTATTCTGGAGGGATTTGGGCTTTGTCTGCTCAATTCCTCACTGTGTCTAGACCTATGCTAACACATACTGCATGTTTAGTAAATGTGTGTTGAGGGATGTTCTTCAGGAAGCTGCTATCTCCTTAACCATCACAAGCATCTTCCTGGGGCCATCTGTCCCATCCGCCTCCTCCCTTCTACTGCCTGTCTGAACATTGCAAATGCTACATTTGGCTTCCTGAGAGCATCTCTAGGTCACCAGGTGTGATCCACACCACCTGGGGTGGGGAAACAGGTAGAGCTTTAATACCCTGCAGACCTACAGTGAGACAATTGAGGTGTGTGTGCTTTCCCCTTCATGGCTTTCTCTTACTGCTCTGCTCCATCTTCTCCTACCCTCTTTTTGTCCCCATCAACCAATTAAATTCTGACCTTCCTTTTAATACTGAGCTTAAAGGTCACCTTCTCCGAGGAACCTCCCCTGAATACTGTGGTCCTTACCTACCTCCTTCTGACAGTAAGGAGACAACAGACTGCTACCCATTTTAGTATTTCAGTTCCCAGAGCTACCATGAGTTTGGCTCTTCCTTGGAGCCTAGGGTTTGAATCTTAACACGTGAGCTACAATTTTAGAGTCAGGCAACTGGACAGAGAAGATAGCTTTCCGAAGGCCTTAAAACTGATGGCAAAAGTGTGGATTCTGTTTTCAAAGCTAGGCCTGTCATACTCTATAACCCACCCGAGTTAGGAGATGTTGAAACCTGCTATGTCCCCTCTTCAGGACAGGGCTGATCCAGCACCAGCTGCAGGTTCCCATAGCTCTTTGCCTTTTTCTGTGAGGTACATTTCCCCTTGGGGCAGGCTCAGGAGCTGAGTTGCTAACTTCCTGTGGGAGAGCCCTCCACAAACCATTGATGATATGGAGATACCCTATCCGGGGTAGGAACACTTGAAATGCTTGCTCTCCACTGGGCTCTCATAACCACCCTGCAGGATGGACTGAGCTAGGCTGTCTACAGTGATGAGAAACCGTGTTAGTTAATGTTCATGGGCTGCCTTCTCTTCAAGCTCCTTCTCCATCTGCATATCCTGTCAATCAACTACTCTCACAAGGACTCTTGTCTCAGGGTTCACTTCTAAGGGAATCTAAAATAGACCCACTTCTCAATACCTCTGCTAAGGTTTCCTCCCTTCTCCCAATCACATTTCATCAAGTTGTAACTTCCAGAAACCAGAGAAACTAGTACTACCCCCCCCCTTTTATCTCCCACAGCACCAACCACGTCTGCAGACCTAAACACTGTAAATTCTAACTGAAATTGCTAACTCAAAGATACTTCCAAACTACAGATTAGAGAGTCTTGGCCAACTTTTCTCTCTTGTATACATCTCACTGCCTTTTCTGATGCTGGTCAAAACTATGTTATTTGATCAATGTTCTTGGACACCAGTCCTTTCTCGAATCAACCACCAGCTACCTTGCAAATAGAAGAGGCACCACTGGCTGGCTGAGGACATGCATGCAAAGCTGTGTATCTTTTCAGATGCCCTGTGGGAGCTGATGTGACTAAAAGGGCAGAGTCAAAATCTGAACTAACCCGATAGCCATCAGTGGTTCTCTCTCTCTTACCCATTAAAGAGTATGAGGATCCTAAGAATTATATAATGTCCATTACTCTATGCTGGGACATAACTAGGCTGGATTAGATACATTGCTATCTGGGCCGTCTTCCAACTCACAGCTATGAATTCTCTCCCAAGGGGCATGGGAGGATCAAGCGCTTGGGAGGCCAGGGCTCCAAAGACCGCAGCGTCATTTATTGAGTGCTTACTACATCATGTACCTTACATATGCTATTCTCATCGATCTACCTTTCGAGGCAGGGTTGACTTTTTTTTTTTAAGCCTGACAGATGAGAAAACTGAAGATGGGAGAAAGAAATGAATTCACCCAGAATGAGGTGGAAGAATGCTGGAAAAACAGCATTCAGACTTGAATCTGATTGAGTCTGGATAGAATACATTGCCCTGCCCTGAGCTGAAGGTTTGATTGGACTTGGGTGTGACCAAAGGTAGGTTGGTAGGGTAGGGACATTTCAGACTAGAAGGTAGGTATCAGATGTTGTTCAAGGGTAAACTGCCCCAACCATCAGAGGCCGAAAAGAGTGACTCTTTGTTAATACATCTGTGTCGGTTAAGTGTTGGCTGATGTAGGAAGGTGACTTGGCATCAACAAAAGGTCAGGAAGAAAAAAAAAGGTCAAGCAGGCCTTGGGTCTGTGCAGCAATGTGAGTTCAGGTCAGCTGCACTTGAATTCCTTCAGGGGCCCAGGCCAAAAGGACAGCAAGTATCCAAGGGAATGTCTGTTCTCTTAATGCCAACATAGCACAGAGAGTGCTCTGAGGCAAGAGGAACTCAGAACTGGCCGGTTGCATCTTCATATCATTGGCCAAAGCAAGTCATCCAGACAAATCACGGTCACGTGATTTTTTTTTTTTTTTTCAGTTCAAGACTGGGAATTACCCTCACATTTAATAGGCAGGACTGAAAAAAAAAATCACATGACTGTAAAGGTGGGGAATGTAGGGAGAAGTGGAGAATGGAGGCCAATAATTTATCCTAAGAATTCAGGCCAAAATTTTATCTACATGGAAGATGTAGTGGCAGAAAAACTTTCTATTGACTAGGAGCAAGGAGTCCTCACAATTACATTGTACAAGGAACAGCTACTCTTCAATATCTGTGCTATGGGAAGAATGTATTTGCTATAGATCTTGATAAATTGAAAGCATTAATATCAGTGAAAAATGAGGAGACAGTATACGTGTGCAAATCATTCAATAACTGAATTTAAAATAAACTTAACATCCTAACCTTTGTTTCTCCCATACTAATTATTTTAAAAAATTTTTAAGTTAATTTTCAAAATTATGGTGCTGAAGATTGAGCCAGGGTCTCATGTGTGCTGGGCAAACACCCTACCATTGAGCGAAACGTCTAGTGCTCTGGCTATTATTCTTAAACTCACAAGAAACTGATTTAGAAAATTACCATATCTGATGAAGAAGAAATAATTCAGCAAAGTCCAGCCATGCTTTGTATGTGTGGAATAGGGATACTTAACTGGTAATATTCTTTGTTATTTTCAGGCACCGTGATTTATAGTAATTCATTATTGAGATGCAGTTCTTGTCTAAGGCTAAAATTATCCATTCTAGTATATACATTTTTACAGAGAATGATGTATGAAATTGATTCGTGGCTTTTTTTTTTCTTGTGCGGGTCCTTTATACTCTTTTTTTTTTTTTTTTGGCATGCACGTGTATGTGTACTGTTAGTCAAAAACACAAGTAATGACTCAGAGCCTGGTGGTCTAGAAGGTATTATTTCTGGCCCAGGGGCCAAGGAGGGTTTTCTACAGGAAGCAGGTGCACCATTCCTTCAGACACTTAGAGCTCTCCTGGGCCTCACACTCAGTGGCACCACAGCAACAGATAAGCCATTTTTGAAACTCAGCTTCATTCTTGTGCATTAGAAGGAACTGGCCCAGCAGGATATAGGCCTAGGAGAATGGGACAAGGCAAGAAGGAAACAAAGTTATCGTAATATGTCTCAGAGGTGCCCTTCCTTCCTCCTCCAACCATATGGACCTAGATGACAAAGGTTGGGCAATGAGTCAGATAAGGGAGATTGTCAGTCACTGAAACCCTGACTACAGCCAGCAGGGCTTGGGGACAATTGGTGAGAGGTAAGCCAAATGGATTGTTCATCTTCCAGGGCTGCCAAGCCCAGCAAGCGCTTGCTTGCTCCTTATACTGATCACCTGGCATCTTGGAAAAAGACAGTTTCTGACTCAAAAGAGTCTAAATCAAGAGTTCCATGATGATGATGATGATGGTGGTGGTGGTGGTGGTATTACTGGGCTTTGAACTCCAGCTCTTGTGCTTGGTAGGCAAGTGCTCTACCACTTAAGCCATGCCCTTAGTCCTTTTTGCTCTGGTTAATTTTCAGATAGGGTCTTATGTTTTTGTTGGTGCTGACCTGACCTGACCTGACCTCGATCTTCCTAGTTATACCTCTCACAAAGCTAGGATGACGAGACAGGACTTTCGTGCCCAGCTTATTGTCAGACTCTAGAGATTTCAAGTCCTATTACATGTCTGTCTCTTGGGCCTGGTTAAAGGGGATTTTCTAGCCCAGAATGAATGAGAACCAACATCCACTCACCACTTGTTTAGAGTCAACTGAAAAGCTGCCTTTGCTGGGCCCATGAATTAAGCAAAAGTAGGATAAAAGCTGGGCACCCAGACTCCACTTTATGTGTGTGCTTTGATAGGAGCCATTCTTTCCTGCAGTCACTTTGCAATCACCTCCAGAAAGAACAGGATTTACCGATAAGCATCTTGTGACAAAAGGCAAATGCCCCTCAGACAGGCAATGCTTTCTTCTTATCATCTTGTGGCAAAAGGTAAAACTGCTTCAAAGGAAAATGAACAGTTCAAAACTACAGATCAACTGCCAGGGAACAGTGACCTTGCAACAGAGACTGACTTGTTCCTGCTGCCCTCCAGGGATAAAGTGATAACTTCTTTGAAACTCTTTCAGAGACAAACACTGAGATAATGGTCAACCAGGCTACACCTATATATTATGTGTACATTCTTACTCCCTGCCCTAAATTCACTCCATTAACGTAAGGCCCATGCCTTTACCCCTGAAGACAGCTAAACATGACTGAAACACACACTGAAGTGCTATCTTCTGTGGTTTCCATGTGATAAGTTTCCTTCCTCCCTTCTTCATTATGTCTCTTTATTTGGCATATAGGGCCTGATATGAAAAACTTCTGGAGTTTTTATCTAGGACCTAAAAACCTGGTTTAACTTTGAGTTCTGGGCCTTTTGTAGGGAAACTGGCTGGTGCTTTACAACTTTCCACTACCTTAGTTTTTTTCTGCCCTGTCTGGCCTCAAACCAAGATTCTCTTAATCTCTGCCTCCTGAGTTCATGATTACAGGTGTGAGCCAACCTGAGTTTCCATTCTACTACATTGAATGGTTGATCGATTGATTGTTGTGCTGGCACTGGGGCTTGAACTCAGGACCGCATGCTTTTACTTAGCTTTGTTGCTCAAGGTCGGCACTCTACCACTTGAGCCACACCCCTTCTCCTGGCTTTTTGTGGGTCAATTGGAGATAAGAGTCTCTCAGATATATCTGCAGCCCAGGGCTGGCTTTGTACCATGGCCCTCACATCTCAGCTAGGGGTATAAGCCATTAGTTCCCGGAGATTTTCTATTTCTAATATGTTCCTAGCTATGGTTGATCTGGTGGGAATGTTTTAAGTAGGGGACCTAGCATATACCTATGCTAGGCAAATGCTCTATCACTGACCTACATCCCCAGCCAAGGCACTTCTTTGAAATGCACATCAATGAGTTATAGACATTCCTTATCCCACACTACTTTCCCAATCATAACATTTCCCAGGCATTGCTCAATGTCCCCGTGGTGCCAAGATCGCCCTCAGCTGAGAAGTATTGCACATGCGGCTGGCAGGTGAAGGCCATCTTAACATTGACTTGTTTTTGTACACCACCTGTGCGATCCAGGCACCTGCACTGCAGTGTGGACCAGCAGAAGTTAAGGCACTGTTCACCATCCCAAGGTTCATGGTGGATCCTGCCCTGAAAATTAAATCAAGTGAACCAAATGCTAAAACATTCAAAGAATGCAGATTCCTCTTTCTGTCCTGAGAGAGAGATGCTGTCCTGTGTGTGGGAGCAGCACTGACAGTATAAAACATGCTAGACCTGTATCTCTTTTCCAAGCCTTTTACTGACTGGGGCCACATCATAGGCTTCTATTGTATCCTGTATTTTCCAACTTCTTAGACTCAACAGTTCTGTCTCTGCAGCCTGCGGAGCTATTCAGCCTCTGCTTGTATGAGTCAACTTTGTGACTCGTGTGTGTGTGTGTGTGTAGTCTTCTATTGGTATATTTTTATGTGTGTGTATATAGGTATTAGAGCTTGAACTCAGAGCCTGGGGATTGTCCCTTAGCCTCTTTCACTCAAGACTGTTTCTCTACCACTTGAGCTATACTTCCACTTCTGGCTTTTTGCTGGTTAGTTGGAGATCAGAATCTCACAGATGTTCCTGCCTGGGCTGGCTTGGAACCTTGATCCTTAGATCTCAAGCTTTCCGGGTTGCTAGGATTATATCTTTGAGCCATGGGAGCACCACCTTCTTGGACTATTAGTTTTATAGAAACGGTCTGTTTTAATAGATTTGCTAAACAATACATGTTAGATAAATGTTAAGTGCACCATGACTCATGTTTCTACAGGGTGTTTTAGTTTTCTACGTGCCTTCCACAGGTTTTCATCTCTCTTTTACAATTTTATTACACCATGATTGATGAGGAAGAACAAGGACCATGTGGAGAAAGATATCTCCCAAGTCTATTTGAGCATAAGCTGGCCAAGCCATTACATGGTGGAGGCTAGAGCTTTTAGGTCACATTACATGTCTGTCTCTTGGGCCTGGTTTGGGGGCTCTCCAGTTCAGAATGAACGAGAACCAATATCCACCCACGCCTTTGAGTTCTGGGCCTTTTCCAGGAAAACCTGCTGGTGTCTGTTGACTTTCTGTTACATAAAACAAAGTAAACTTCATCTTAACTAAAAGGCACATATTTTTTAACAAGTAAAATCAAATAACAGCTAGTCATAAAATGGACCCAAGCATTAGGGGTGTGTGTGTGTGTGTGTGTGTGTGTGTGTGTGTGTGTGTGTGTGTGTGTCTGTGTCTGTGTGTGTGTGTGTGTGTGTGTGCGTGCTAGTTACTGAGGCTTGAACTCAGGGCTTGGGCACTGTCTCTTAGCTTTTTTTTCCTCAAGGTTAATGCTCCACCACTTGAACCATTTTTCCACTTTAGGCTTTTTGGTGGTTAGTTGAGATGAGAGTCTCATGGGCTTTTCTACCTGGGCTAGCTTCCAATTGCAATCCTCAGATCTCAGCTTTCTGAGTACCTAGAATTGTACAATTGTAGGAATGAGAACCTGGCTTGAGTTTGGATTTCTTCAAAAATTTTTTTGGTGCTGGGGATCAGACTGAAGGCTTTGTACACACCAGCCAAGCAAGCACTCTATCACTAAGCTAAGTTATATCACCAGCCAGGGGTTTTGCTTTTAGACATTGTCTAATTGTTGAAGAGAGAAACAAAGCCAGGACTTCCTGGTGATTTTACACTGCTACTTTAATCATTCTTTTTATATGGGTTTGTTATTATTATATCTTTTTAAATCTTTTTTAATTGTGAAAATACTGTACAGAGGGGTTGCAATTACATGAGCAAAGTAATGAGTACATTTCTTATCAAGTATTGTTGCCTCCTCCTTTGTTTCCCCTTCCCATCGCTCTCCCCCACCTTTGTTGCTTTATTATATCTTTTAAAGTTGTTATTATAAAGATGATGTACAGAGGGGTTACTATTTTATAAGTCAGGTAATGAGTACATTTCTTTTTGGACAATGTTACTCCCTCCTTCCTTCTCTCCCAGTTTTTCCCTCCTACTTCGTCCATAAGTTGTATAGTTTATTTTCAACATAGAGTCTCCTGAGTACCACTGCTGCGTTTGTTCACCCTTTAATTATTCTCTCTGTTTTGTAGAGTTGCTTAGCATGATCTTACTTTTTATCAGTCTCTTTCCATCTTCACTGATGGATTGTACTGTGGTGTTTTTAAGTCAACATGTTTTTAAGTGCTTTAAAACACTGGCATTTGCTAGGTGCTGTAGTTATGGAAATAGCCAGGCAAATGCATTAGGATGAAGAGACATAGAGCTTTGTCCAAGGAGAGGAACATTAGTGATAATAATTTTAACTAATAGCAAATAGCACTTTTTTTATTTTTGGCGTGGGGCTTGAACTCTGGGCCTAGGTGCTGTCCCAGTGCTCTTCAGCTCAAGGCAAGCACTCTACCACTTGAGCCACAGCACCATATCTGGTTTTCTGAGTGGTGAACTGGAGATGAGAGTCTCGTGGACTTTCGTGCCTGAGCTGGCTTTGTACCTTGATCCTCAGATCTCAGCCTCCTGAGTAATAAGGATTACAGGCGTGAGCCACGAGCACCTGGTGCAAGTAGCACATTTGAGCACTCTGACAGGTTACACTCTTCTGGAGATACATGGCACACTTTAGTCCTCATGTGTACCCTGCCCACCCCATTCTCCTAGGAATCTGGGAGCTTGAGCCCCCTGCCTTTTTCCCACTCATCTACTGCCCGTTTGGGGGCCAGCTATGGAAATCAGCTGATCTGGTCATCTGAACCTCTCCAGCCACCAAGCTCAGCAGACAGAAATCCAGGAATGCACAACAGGTTGGATCCAGGTGAACTTTCCAGGAACATGGCAAGGCCCCTAAGCCAAGTTGCCACCTGATGTTCCATCCTCAGCTTTCCCACTGGTCTCATTCTGGCATCTTCTAGCAAGTGAGGAGGGAAAGATGACCTTCCTTCTCACGTCAGCTGTGAGGAATTCACCTTGCTTCCAAGGGAAGGAAACCTCATGAGACTCCATCATGGCCCTGCTCATTGCCCATTTAGTTTCTCCAGTGGCTTCAGATAGTAAACCATTCATCAGAGGGAAGCCCAGATGTAAGGAATTTGGTTCAGAAATCCTGAAAAGATGTCATGGATGGTCGTCTTGACCAGGCAAGAAAGCGCATTTCTTCCTGTAGCAGCAAAATGGTGATACAAGGGCAGACTTGTCCTCAACTGAAAGACCAAGAAGAGAAGCTCTCCGGAGGCTTTCCCCAAAGGGTATCTCCACCTCTTGCCAAACTATGGCAATGTGAATCTGTACCAAGATTGACTTTGCTTAGGTTAGATCTGCATGGGTATGTAGGGTCCCATGCATAGGTGAACCACCATATGTCTACTGTCATGCTGCCACCATCTTGGAAGTCTAAATACAGTTAAGCCTTTCCATTTTGTTTTGCACTGGGCACTGCCATTTAGGTCGGAGGCCCTGGTGTGGGCTCATTAAAGTTTTGAACCTTCACATTGGCATCTGCCCTTGTTAAATAAACATATATTGTTTTGGCTTCTCATTCTCAAGCTTCCATCACTTCCCTCTGTCTAAGACCCGACTCACAGCTCCTGTCCTGAATGCCCCTTACATTACTGTGGGCCTCTGTCGCAATGATGCAGCTCAGTTCTGCTCTTCTCTAAGCAGACACCGACACCTAGGTCTGCATGTTCACTGATGACCAATGGCAACCTTGAAAAGCCAACATCCCCCGGTCACATCATGCTTGTATCACTGTGCTTTTGGTGTGGAGGCTCAGCCCAATACTAGGTCTTGATCCTTTTCTCTCCTGGTGAGACATGCTTATCCTATAAAATCCAGAATTCCAGGCTCATGAAATCCTTTGTATTTTATCTAGAAGCTCAAAGCAGGGCAACCCCAAAGTCATGTGATTGACTCCTTGCAGGGTCTAGACATTAGGTAGTAGGGTATTGTGCCAACAGAGTGAACAGACAGGAGCTGAGGGCCTCAGTAGTTAAGCCTTGGGACTTGGGTGACAGGAGAGATGGCAGCTGACCACTGGGGTCATGTAGTCCTGAGCTTGGTCTCTGTTCCTTTCTGCTAATTACAAGGGAGGGTCTAGGAAAGGCCCTGGAATCTGGAGAGTATAACAGTGAGGGTGGGTGATGGCCCACCTTATTTCTAGTGGTGCACACAGCACAATGGAGCCTGGAGGCCTTGAGCCCTGTGGTTTGTCTGCCCCTCCCCAGCTTCCATCACTGTTATTTCATATGACACTGAGCAATCCGCATGTGTTCTCTTTGACCCAGTTTCCACATCAGTACAATAGAAATGAAATAGATAGATAGATAGATAGATAGATAGATAGATAGATAGATAGATAGATAGATAGATAGATAGATAGAAATACTGCCGGGCGCTGGTGGCTCATGCCTGTAATCCTAGCTACTCAGGAGGCTGAGATCTGAGGATCACGGTTCAAAGCCAGCCCGGGCAGGAGAGACCGTGAGACTCCTATCTCCAATAAACTACCAGAAAACCGGAAGTGGTGCTGTAGCTCAAGTGGTAGAGCGCTCGCCTTGAGCTGAAGAGCTGAGGGACAGCGCCCAGGCCCAGAGTTCAAGCCCCACGACCGACAAAAAAAAAAAAAAAAAACAAAACTAATACTTAGAAAGCTTGGAAGTTTCTGTATATAGCAAACATCACATATATACATATGTTGTATGCAGTACTGGGAATTGTTCCCAGGAGGCCTTGTACCTGCTAAACAAGCACTCTACCACTTAAACTACATCCCCAATCCAGAATATTTTTTTTAAATGATAAACACAGCTGGGCAAGTATGAAACCCTACAATTAAGGAAATGTGGTGGATGTCAGAACAGTGTTTATCTCTTGGAATAGGGGATGACATTGGCTGAAAAGAGGTACAAGGGAGCCATCTGGAATTTCAAAGTTGTCTGGGTCAGGGTGGTGGCTATGCGGGTACATCTATCCATATAAAACTTCTTCAAGCTGGGCACTGGTGGCTTACGCCTGTATTCCAGCTACTCAGGAGGCTGAGATCTGAGGATTTTGGTACAAAGCCAGCCAGGGCAGAAAAGGCCAATTAACAACCAGAAAACTGGAAGTGGTGCTGTGGCTCAAGTGGTAAAGTGCTTGCCTTGAGCTGAAGAGCTGAAGGACAATGCCCAGGCCCAGAGTTCAGGCCCTGACACAGACAAAAAAAAAAAAAGTGAAAAATAGGGTGGGAAGCATGGAGGTGTTGGCCAGTGGTAGAGTACATGCTTAGCATATGTGAAGCATGGGATCAATCCAGCACTAAACTAAATAAGTTGAATATACAAAAGAGTAAGGATGTCTCTTCCCTACCCTCTGGCTTCCTGTCCTGCCATGTGATCCAGCTCTCCTTTTTATGTGTTCCTGCTATGAAATAGGCACCAGAGTGTAGTATCTTCCTTATAAAATACTCTGCATCAAATATTTTGTTATAGCAATGGAAAACAGACTCATCTATTCAGAGATTGCTTTGGATAGTCCTGAAGCCATTTTCTTGAGCTAGGAATGTCAGCTTCTCACCTTGGTAAATGTCAGCTTCTCACCTTGGTATAGATTCCAGGATGCCGGCTTGTCACATGCCTTGACAATGCTTGCATCCTGGCAGGGGCAAGCAAGGTTCCATAAGCCCCTTCCCAAGGGGTGGGGCGTGTATCCAAGTCATCCATTCTGACAGCTCTGCCCCAGACACTGGTGGCAAGGCTCACTTCTACCAAGCTCTGAGCCTTTGAACACTGACCGAATGACTCATGCCCAGCCCAGCTGCTCCGAAGCTGAAGCAGTTCTGTTTGCCCATCATCTGCAAGCCCTTGAGGCTGCTCAAGCATGTGGGGTCATCAGCACTGAGGCAGGTGGCGCCCTGCCAAGTGCCAGCCTTGCTCTCTTATGGTCCCTCATAAGGACATGTGGCAGGGGCTGCCATCTGGCCTGAACTAGAGGAAGAGAGGTTAGGAAGAGATGTGTGTGTGCTAGTGGCAGAGGGGAACAAATTACCTTGTTAAAACCTTTGGTGACCAAATTGATGGCCAGCTCTCGGCTGATACCATCCACCCAGGCAACATCCTTTTCACCAATGGGCTCTGAAAGGAAGGCTCTCAGCCTGGGAGACATTTGCTCCATCTCCTGCAATGTGGGAAGAAGAGAAAGCATGAGGAGGTGTCTGACTACACAGTGTGAGGGGGGTTCTGGGGAGCTCCCTGAGCCTGATGGACTGGGACAACAGAAGGCAGACTTTGATCCATCATCCCATGGCTATGGGGAACCAGGTGTGCTGTCCCAGGAGTCCTTTCTACTTCTGTGCCCACCTGGATGAAGGGAGAGAAGTATAATGCTGGCTCCAGATGAGTCAGAAAAAGCCAGTTCTAACTAAAAGGTGTCCTTGATGCTAAGAACCGCTGGTCTCTTTCCAATGCTTGCCATTCTACCTGCTGAAAAGCCAGCTGCTCTTTCTTAGCTAATTAACCTGCTTTCTCTCAAACACCCAACCCTTTTGTCATACTTTTATTGTAGCACTTATCACTCTCTAATGGTTAGTTATTTGGCTGCAGGTGACAGATCGCCATGCTAACCTCAAACAACTCACAAGTCCACGGTGAGATCAGATATGGGACAATCAAGATGGCTTTCACCCCTGGTTACTTCTCATGTGGCAGTGATCTGGCTGCTACAGCCCTTATTGTCCAGCATCCCATCTCAAATGAAGGGATGGAGGGAACTCATTGCTTAAGAGTAGCAAGCAAACGCTACACCCAGCTTCTAACAGATGCCCAGGTTACTAGTAGAACTGGTATCTACCATATGCTCCAGTCCTGGATGTAGAAGTACATTCAGCTTTCCCTAAAGGCAGATTAAGCTATGAACAAAATCGCAATAGCTTTCCACAGACAAGGAGGTATGTGTTAAGGGAATAGCCACCGTGTCCCATTGTAGTCTACCTCTGGCCACTTGACTCTGGCCACTTGATATCTGTGTACTCTCCCCTCCTGCCCTTAGAGGTCCATCATACATATCTATTCCTCCCTCTTCCTAGGACTCGGCTAGTTAGTGTGGGTTCAGATTCAACGTCATATTTAGGGGCAAGGCATCATGTTCTTCATTATGTCTGGGGTACTCTATGAACTAAATCCTGAAGTTCATCACCATAGCCAGCAATGTTGAAAGGAAAGATCAAATAAATCAGAAATAAGAATTGCTTCCTTAAAGAGGTCAAAAATGCATAAAGCACAGCACCTTGCTGGACAGAAACACAGGATCTCCCCACCCACATGGTCAAGGAAGCTTCTCCTCCTCTTCTTCTTTCCTCCCCTTCCTCCTCCTCCTCCTCCTTCTTTTCTTCCTCCTCCCCCTCCTTCTCCTTTTCCTCCTCCTCCTCTTTTTTTTCTGTCAGTTGTGGGGATTAAACTCAGGACCTGGATGCTGTCCCTGAGTTTTTCCTCAAGGCTAGCACTCTACCACTTTGAGCCACAGAACCAGTCTTGTTTTCTGGTGGTCAGTTGGAGATTGGCTCCAAACCGCAATCCTCAATTCTCAGCCTCCTAAGTAGTTGAGATTACAGGCATGAGACACTGGTGCCCAGCTGGAATAAGTTTTTTGTTCAGCCAACAGAGCGCCCCAAGTGCTGGAGTATATCGCTCTCATCCACTCTTATTCATATCTGAGTGGGTAGGGGGTTGGTGCCTTCCTAGGAAAGATGCTGTTTTAGCACCTTACTTCTTAGGGTGTACATGTTTAGGGATTGGGCAATCTCAGGACATAAGCATCATTTTCTTTGGCAACTCCATTGCTAAGTCACCCATTTGTGATTTTCTAACTCTAATTAGAAATACCAGGTTTTTCAAGCCAGCAGGATTGGCTTAATTTCCCCTTTTAAATGGGCCAACTTCCTCCTTGACTTGAGTCTCTGAGGACCTCAATGAAGACTGCCGGTGGCAGCTCCATAGGACAGGGACTCCATTAGGATAAGGTCTGTGTCCAACACTGTCAGCCTTTTTTTGTCAGTCATGAAGCTTGAACTTTGGGCCTGGGCACTGTTCCTCAACTTTTCAGCTCAAGGTGAGTGCTCTACCACTTAAGCTACAGCACCACTTCCACTTTTCTGGTGGTTAATTGGAGATAAGAGTCTCACAGACTTTTCTGCCTGAACTAGATTTGAACCTTGATTCTCAGATCTCAGCCGCCTGAGTAGCTAGGATTACAGGCATGAGCCACCAGTGCCCGGCTGACTGTCATCCATTTTTTCCAAGCAAGGCAGAGTAAAGGCATTCTTGCTGGTCTCCGCCTAAACAAGTCTCTTCTCAACCCAACACTGGGAATTTTGCTTATTGTAGCCTGTTACCAAAGTGTATTTCAATCTATATAGTTTATGATGCAAGGAACAGAAAATCCAGTTTTAAGTGGCTTCTCTTAGATTTTTTTATTAGTATATATTACCAAGAAATCAAGTATAAGGCTGGAAGGTGGCTCAGTGGTAGAGTGCTTGTCTTGCATGCATGAGGCCCTGGGTTGATTCCTTAGCATCACATAAACAGAAAAAGCCAGAAGTGGAACTGTGGCTCAAGTGGTGGAACACTTGCCTTGAGCTGAAGAGCTGAGGGACAGAGCCAGGCCTAGAGTTCAAGCCCCACAACTGATTTTAAAAAAAAATCAGATACAGTTTGACCAAGATTCCAGTGTGATTTCCCAGCTGGTCTGTTGATTTAGCCTTCCTTTGTCCATACCATCCATCTTCAGCTTAAATCCTTCATGGAAATGAAGGCCACACCAGATCCTACTATTACATTACCATTTCAAGCCACACTCCCTTCTGCCAAAGGAAAACCTAGAGATCTCTAGTTAGAAGCCACCAACAAACACCTTCTGTAGCTCAAATTGTCATGCGCCAGGCCCCACAGCAATATTCTTCATGGTCTGATCCACATGTTCTACACCTCCAGGCTCAGACAGCTCCTGGGTTGCAGTGGTGGCGATGGTGAGACGCACATTGGGGTAGTTACAGAGGATTTTGTTAGGACAACCCAATAAGCTCCCAGGGCTGTGGCTGTCTCCTCATGGCTTCTTACCGCTAACCCTGGTACTCAGTACTGTGCCTGGCACATGGTAAATACTTGCTGGTTTAAATGATCAGATGCATCCAGTCACAAGGCCTATCCCCTCTTCTCATACCACCCCCCTCCCAGTCTTCCTCCATACCTTTCGGCAAAGCAGAGCCCTTCTTGTGAGCCTTCTTGTTTTGTGGGACGTTTTGAAAAACGGTAGATGAAACCGAAGTCTTCAAAAGAAGATGGGTCCAAAGGCCCTGAGAGGAAGTAGGGGATCCTAAGGAGAAGAGTCTCTGGGTACCTGCAGATCCTAGGAAGGGAGACATAAAATAGGAGAGGTTGTCTGTCAAGCACACAGATGTACATAAACTCCTAACTACTTTACTATGGGAGGGGTTTGCTCTTTTTTTCATGTTTTGTTGAAGTTTGGTTTGGTTTATTCTGGCACTGACAGGTGAGCACCTTAGCAACCATGGCCTTGTGGAATGACAATACAGATTGGTGGCCCAGCTCAGAGGCAGGCTCATGAGCACCCAGGGTTTCTGAGAGCCTGGAAGTCTCACAAGCCACACCAACTTTGCTGAGGGAAAATTCCACCCACTACCCATGCTGACCATCTGTCACGTTAAACGTCTCTGCCTACTATATCTTCTAAGAATAAATGGAAAGTACTCCAATGTTATCAAAGCTGGAACAACATCAAAGATGGTAATGATTTGGTGATACTCTGTGTGTGAGTTCACATTTCCCATCCCAAACTCACTTGGACCTTTGAAATACCTCTGAGAGAGATGGTGACTTCAGCTCCAACTGTACTTCTCAAATATGGATGACTCATAACTCGCCCACCCCCCAAGCTGGGAAGAGGATTTGGCGAGGGCTGTTGACATTCTTGCTGGTCACACTGGGGGAGGGGAAGACTTGTCTATGCTGTAGAGTAGATTAGAACTCCCTCTCCTTCAGCTTTTGGTTGTATCATTCCTGGGGCTTGAACTCAAGACCTGGGTACTGTCCCTGAGCTTTTCATGTTCAAGGCTAGCACTCTACCACTTGAACCACAGCCCCACTTCCAGCTTTTTGGTCATTAATTGAGATAAGAGTCTCACAGACTTTCCTGCCCGGTTGGCTTCCAATCTTGATCCTCAGATCTCAGCTGCCTGAGTAGTTAAGATTACAGGCTCAAGCTACTGGTGCCTGGCTTCCCTTTTTAAGGCTACATAATATTCTGCTGTAGGTAAAGAGACCATGTTTTCCTTATTCTTCTTTTCTATGTGCTGGTTCTGGGGCTGGAATTTAGGGTCTCTCACATTCTCCCTTACCTTTTCCACTCAAAGCTAGTACTCATCATTTCAGCCACAAATCCACTTCTGTTTTTTTTTTTTTTTTGCTGGTTAATTGGAGATAAGAGTCTCTCAGATTTGTTTGCTCAAGCTGGCTTTGAACCAGGATTCTCAGATGTCAGCCTCCTGAGTAGCTAGGATTATGGGTGTGAGTCTAGCCTTATTCTGTATAGATGGGTGGACACATAGGGTGGCTTCCTGCTTGGGGTTGTTATGGATAATCCTGGTGTGATTGTGGCCACATAACTCTCTTTTTTGGGACTCTGCTCTCACATCTTCTGGATGTATAATGATCATTGGAACTGATATGTCATGGTGTAGTAACTATTTTTAAGTCCTTGAGGAATCAACAGATGATTTTGTACTTGACTCAAACTTGACAGCATGTTTGACCCGCATGGGGAAATGACAGATTCCTGGTGCTCTGGTCCCTCTTCCAGAGTTTTTAGTGGGGTTATCTTAGGAAAGGCCTAACCCTCAAGATTCCCCTAAATGCCTGTGGTGATTTTAATAGTTTGCAAAGTTGAGCCATCGTCTCCTTGTTGGGTGATCTGCAGCAGGTTGGCTGAGATGAAGGGATGCAGTTATGTGGGAGTTTATGGGGGGATCTGTACATCTGTGACACCATATGGCTTGGCTCCTGGCTCCCAGGCAGTGTATACCCCAGTCAGCAGGTGCACCAGACTCTCGTTAGCCTCTACTAACAAGACTTAACCATCACCCTGATGCCTTTGAACTTCTG